ATTAAATTAAAGGTAGGTATTCTCAATATACAGGAAAGTAACATAAGTACTTTGAAGTGAAGTATTCCTGAGACAGTTATGAGAAATAAAGTCTATATAAGCTTTTGTGTCCGGAAATGCTTCATTTCGGAGATACAGGGTGCTGAAATACAGAGAATAAATCATTTTTCGATAAACATTTGATAGAAAAAAAGTAGTTTATTTTGACGAGACCTATACCAAATACTTGGTTTTGTAAAGTTCTCAGCAACTCCACTTAGCGCCCTAGGAGCTAAATAACATGGATCGATATAGAAAATATCTCCAAAACGATGACGTCCAGCATGATTGAGGCCCTTATAATAATTCTCTTGATACATAATTAACTATTCACTTTTCACTGTTAAATTTCAAATTTGGTCGGCACCAAAAACGCCATTCAATAATATATCACTTTGTAGTTTACTTGCTTTTCTTAGTTTCGTTTTCAAATATTTAATTTCATTATGTAATTTTGCGATCAGTTCCTCTTTTCCATGATTATTTTGTTTTGTATTTTGTGTGATGATAATAATGGAATTTTGTTCTCTAAATCGCCTGCTTTGTAAATTGATGGAACAGCAGATTCTCACAGACAGATTTTGAAATCTTCTGTTTGAAAATGGACCTAAAATATAGTTTCATTCTAATCAAATGCTGTTATAAAATGTGAATTTTAATGAGTACCTCACAAATTTCGCTCGTCTTCAAATTGATTTTGCACCCTGGCCATTTCATATATTCCTTCCATAAGCGAATGGTTGATATTTGTTTCGGAAAATTGAATGAATGATATCCATTTTCTTCAGAATTGGCACAATTTATTACACAGCAAGTAATTCCCATAGCTGCTTTCATCTCGAATGTATAATTATGAAATTTTATTTCAATTCTGACGTTTATAAAATGTATTGTCAAATTCAAACAATTTTGAATGAAAAAGCGCCGGACGACTATGGTGCTCTTGTCATAATGCAAGGTGTGTAACTTAATAAATCTAAACATTCAAAAACATAACCGTTGTCATTTCTGTGTCCGAACTCTTATCAAACTAATAACATCCAGTGACTCTAGGCAGAATAAGTGTCATATTCATTTTTGTTTAGATTCAAATTCAAAAACTGTCAATAATTGTCCATGACATACTAGTCATACTACACTCTTGTAACCTCAGATTCCTTGATATATAAATAGCTATTATGCAACTAATTCAAATTGTTGATGATTTTGTCATGATTGGATTAGGATTAACCTATTATTCTTGGATCAGATATTTCAGAATTATAATTATGTTGGTGATGAATCAAACATTATAACATGAGAAAACATAGAGATGCACACGCGTTATTTCACTGAAAGTCATTATTAATAGGGACACTGTTCATCATCTCATGTTATTATTGTTCAAAGAAGAAAGATAATGATACTTATTGGATATCTATTTCTTGGAAAATGATTTTTTTTCAAAACTGTTTTGGTCATGGCCATTAGATTTCAATCAGAATTTAAAATAGGTACTGTCGTAGTAACAATAGGTCATAACATTTGATAACATTTTTTTATGCGAAGTGACAGTTTTTTTTTAGTTTATTCCCTACGTTACCTCGACACCGTGAGCGAAATAGTATGCTTAATGAATAAGTGCCGAAAATACATATTTCATGCACTGCAGGTGAACGAAATACTTCGGTTATCATGAACTGATTCATTTAAACGAGGCGCAGCCGAGTTAAAATAATAGTCCTGTTGCTCTGTTATCAGTAATCTCCAAAGTGATGGAGAAAGCCATCAATATTGAGCTTATCAAATATCTGGAGAGCTCAGGAATCATCAATGATAGACAATACGGCTTCCGCCGCCGAAGATCTACTGGAGATCTACTTGCCTACGACACCCATTTATGGCAATCTTCAATAGGAAAACACGGGGAATCTCTAGCTGTCGCGTTGGACATATCGGAAGCATTCGACCGTGTTTGGCACGAAGGACTCCTCCACAAACTACCATCATACGGCTTACCACCTCAGCTATGCCATCTCTTATCGAGTTTTCTTTCAGGCAGATCGCTTCACGTGGTGGTGGACGGTGTATCGTCTGATACCATTGGCATCAATTCTGGCGTTCCACAAGGATCAATTTTGGCACCAACATTATTCCTGCTTCATATCAATGATCTGTTGGGAGTAACAACTTGCCCCATCCACAGCTTTGCAGATGATATCACCCTCCATACTGCGTTCTCTTCCAGAATTCCCATTTCTTCCCAGGAAACTTAGAACTCACGACGCAGGCAGGTCAATGCTGTCAATGAAAATCTTGCTAAAATCACATTCTGGAAAACCAACAACCTAGTTGAATTCAACGCCACCAAAACTCAAGCCTGTATTTTCTCTAGAAAAGCGGAACTCAGTATGCCCGATATTGTAATATCTGGCTCCACCATCCCCACCAAGGCCACCATAATTATGCTCGGTATTTCCATCAGCAACACTCTTTCATGAGATAATCATCTCAGATCCATCGCAAAAGCTGGGAGCACGACTAAATATCCCGTACAAGAATATCCTGTCAAAGAAATCCTGCCGAAAATAACCTGCACATTAATATATTTAGACAATGATAGCCTGACCAATAACATTTCCCTTCCTCAGTCAAATTATTATAATGATTTTATAAGGATATAAATGATAAGGTTATTTTCAGCAGGATATTTTTGACAGGATATTTTTGGACGGGATATTTAGTCGTAGACCCCAAAAGCTGCTTCACAAAAACTCGGATTCTTGTTCCGTGCGAAAAGCTACTTTACACCTCAGCTTCTAATGATCTACAAAGCGCAGATACGGCCTGTTCTAGTATACTGTTCCCACTTATGGGGTTCAGCACCAAAACATACGCTGATGCTCTTAGATTTCATCCAGAGAAGAGATAATCACCTGGTGAGTGACGCCACACTCACTGACTCTTTGACATCATTGGAACACCGTAGAAAGGTCGGCGACCTTTCACTTTTCTATCGATACTTCCACGGGAAATGGTCTTCGGAAATCTCTGCTATCATCCCTTCACTAGCAATACCAATCAGACGAACTAGACAAGCCCAGTTAGCACATCCTTTCGTTGTCAACCTCGAAAGATGTCGAATAGCACTTTATCAAAACTCCTTCATCCATAGAACGGCTATGCTCTGGAATTCATTGCCTGTGGAAGTATTCCCAACAACATATAATCTCCAGAAGTTCAAAAAAAACTCCAATACCTACCTCCTGTCAATATACTCCCTAGGAACGCACGATGTTTTGAACATTATAGGGATTCCCTTTCGTGCACTCCAAGCGTTAAAAAAAAGTCACAACACTTGATACAAAAATAACAATATTCTCCAAATTGCAATGAAAGTGCCTTTTCATGACACATAAAAGGCATGAAAGGTGTATTCTTGCTGCCTAGGCAGAAAAAGTTTGTTGCTATGCAACGTATACAGTAATAATTTCAATCAAATAGGTTATCGAAATTGACAATGACATTGGGTGAACACAAAATGGTGGAGTTTTCACTCATAATCACACGAGAGCTTTTTTCTTGTCGAAGTAAACTTGACATGTATCAATGAGAACTTTGTTCCTTGGCAATTTGACGAAAACAGCTGCCTCTAGGACGAGTAATTTTTTCTGGCAGCTTTTTTAGTTGAATTACCTAATGGCAATAAAATTACAATCAGGAATGCCCAGTTCACTTCGACTAAAAAAAGCTAGAGTGTAATTCGGTAAGACAATTTCATTCATCAAACATTTGTTTATCATTGGTTGTCATGCTTTCAGAAGTTAGGTTACGTTATTGTCGCTGGAAAAGTTAGAGCAAACTTTTTTCGCTGCCATAATGAAAAAATCACGCGGCTTGTGAGATTTTTCATACATGTATTAAATTGTCAATAAAGGAATACACGGAACTGGTTTTATAAAATTCTGAGAAAAAATTATGTTTCACATATGGCAGAAAAAAAAATTCAATGCCTTGGCTGGTTTTCTAGCCTTGGCTGGTTTCCTAGCCTTGGCTGCTGCATTAAATCTTGTGCCTTTCTGCCTAGTAAAATGAATAACTATACATTTATTTATTTATACAAATTCTTGGGTTAGTTCTTTCGATTTTTATAAATTTTCAATTATAATGGTTGTATATTTGGTCTAACTCATTGCATTTTGTTAAGAATTCTAAGGTGGCTGGTAACTTGTAAAATGTTTGTTCCTCTTATTGTTGTTACTTGAACAACCAACCACAGCACGAAAAAACATCATATTTTTTAAAATTGAAAAATCAAACAGAACTCATGGTAATACACAACAACACACTGCGTTCCCAGCCCAAATTAGTCCGAGGGTGACGTATGCGGTGCGACAGAGACAGAAATAGACCATGGGCGTGAGCTTATCATCTTTTGGTTTTAGGTGGTCTTTCTGATGCTTCCAGACAAATCCAGGACATTGGAGCCACATACAAATTTGCCGTTTTTTGAAATAAAGTATAAAAATACGACATAGTCTATTCGTTTCTCACTACTTCATGTATGGTTTATCAACCTTCTGTAATAGAAGACCCCTCTCAACCTCTTTCCTTCGAAACGCCTATGTTCCTCGTCTTCAGTTTCACCAGTACGATCACCTGAATGGCTAACCTTTTTCCTCATAGAATTGGCGGTCTAGATTAGTCTATGAGTCGGTGCTACAACCTTTTTTTTTTTTTTTTTTTTTTTATCGATTGGAGCGCACGAATAAACACGACGGTTTTGATAAAAAGTTTCTTGACAGACCTCCAGAATGACTGATAGCTTGTCAAGTTCGTGACAAGTATTGCTGATGAGAGCACACTGTATATCCTTATACTCCACAATCGTCATTACATTTATGTTTTATCATTTGGACTGTTAATTGATTCTATTGAAAAAGGTGTATCGCTAAAAATAATTGGGAGATAGGAGATAAGCTGCTTCTAGCCTATACAAGCTTGTCCCGATGTCTACTCAATCTGTTGTAGTTACTACTCAAATCCATCATGCAACTATTCATTTTGAGGTACGTAGGTTTGTGAGTTCTCAAAATAATTTATAAACATCAGTATCTCCCTGTGTTTTGGGCATATTGAAGTCCAATGAAAAGATATGGGTCGGATCTGAATATAAAATTGTCAATTTCTTGGCAGAAGCATTTTCAACTATCAATGCTAGAGCATATATGCTTCCTGAACCCATTTGAACGACTTGGCCTGCCCACCTATATATTTGAGCATGTACTTAAGTTCGAATATCAGGAGTTGGGAGAGTTCAACACTATTTTTAATATATTATAAGCAATTTACTGAGAACAATATTTCTTGACGTTCGAAGAAGAGATTTTGTTCGCAACTTTTGCGCGAAATACTTTGGTGATCTCGACAAAAAATCAGTTCTTGATCACCAAGTAGCGTTTATCCAATAAAGTCCACACAAGATATGCAGGGTGTTGTTTCTTGCACTGCAAGTTGAAAAAAAACTGATGTTAGGATAATGCTCCATAGGAATCATGTGGTAAAAAAGCTGATAGTTGTGAGGTTATAACTTTTATACAGGTATTTTGGTCCTGGTGACATCTCATTCATTCATAGAAAGAGATTGCGAGATTTTTGATCATTTTGGAGGAATGAAATGCCGGTATATCAGTGTTCATGATATCACGGGTATTTTCCGGCATATTACAGGGCCTGGCAGGAAGTTATGCCATTTTAGTTGCCATATAGGTCATTGAGGATTGCGTGGTAGTTTACTATACCTTCATTGAAACGGGCCGCTCTAGTTCCGAAATATGAATGAATTATTACTTTTCTTTCTTTCATACACATATAAATTATGGCATACTGTTATGGGAAAACTCTGTTCCTTCGTGTAAAGTTTTCAAGATACAAAAGAGAGCGATAAGAATTATTGCCGGTGCAGGTTACAGGGATCCATGTCAACAAATTTTCAAACAACTCTCTATTATGCCTGTCCCTTCCCTATTTATCTACTCTACTCTTCTGGAAATTTACAAGAATAAAAGAACTTTGAGTGCCAACTCCGATTTTCATGAGTACCAAACTCGTGGGGCAAACGACTTGAGGCCTCCCCGATATAGGCTCAACAAATCCCGAATGAATTCATTGAATATCGGAATCTATAATTTCCTGCCTCAAGAGTTCAAGATTCTCAATTATAACTGCTTCAAATTGAAACTGAAAAGACACATACTGTCCCATTGTTTTTACTCTATTGATGAATATCTGAAAACACCCCCACTTCTCGATAATTTGTGTTGATTTCATTTCGAAAACAACAAAATTTATATTTTAGATTTGTTAGATTCGTGAGAATGTTGTATGTATGTTTGTGATAGCTTAGGTGTATATTTCATTTTATTCTGTAATTGTTTTTGAAAAACATTTTGTACTTCCAGTGACTTGCCAAAAACATGAGAATTGTAACTTGGTCAAATAAAATTCTATTCTATTCTATTCTATTCTTATGAAGAGCCGGTACTTCATATTTGTATCCAATTTCGGAACTCCCCGTGAAGGCAAACACATTTCAGGCAGTGACTATCCACAATTGAGTTCTATTCATGGAATATCTCCGGAATTAAATGAATATTTCCAGTGTAACACTCTGAGCTCACTTTTTTCGCATCCTGTAAATCATTCAGTGGTTGTGATAACGGTGGTTCAAACTTTATCATTCATGATTCAATCTCAGCATATCACTGGAACATGTGATTCACATGAATGGCCTATGTTCGATAGGTTGCATCTGACAGTATTTCTAGAAAAACTCCAATAAGTCGAAAATGGTTCATTTTAGGTATAAGGTGTGATACATGAATCTTGATCAAAATCAGGAAGTTCATGCAGAAATGTTGTATAATACAGGGTGTCCTATTGAAAATAGCGAAGATGACGTTTTTTCCAGAGGAACTGGAAACTTCACGATCATTTTAGTAGGATTTTCCATGTTTCCACCAACTTCCATACCAATTTCCAAGATCATGCTACTTTGAGTTCTCCATATATTGATCGTGTTGACTCATGAAGATATACCTCGTATAATTTCACCCTCCCAGGATACCTTTCGTTTGGCTTGTGAAGATTTATGCTCTCCAGAATGGCCAACAGTATCAACGGATTTCTAGAGAAAAAAGTTTCGAATTGCGTTGTCCAAATATGAGTGGTGTTACGAAACGAGCTCAAGGTGGAACGACTGCATGCTCGAGGCTAGATTACTATTCGCGTCTCTGATGAAAAAATCACTGATGGCTCGCGTAGCAAGAGGATGTCCTCAAGAAGGGATCCTGTACCCTCTGCTCTGGAATCTTGTTATGGACAATTTCGACATTATGTTATATACAAGATTTATTTGGTCATCCTATTCCGAAGCAAATTCAACAACACGATCAGGGAAAAATTACAATAGTCCCCCAAACGTTGTGACCAAATAGACGGAAAAAGAGAGTTGGCCCCTCCAAATCCATAATAATAGCAATCACCAGGAGAAAAACCTAACGGGGCTAGGACCACTGAAGCTCAACGTTGGAGAAATTGCATTGTCAAGCGAGTTGAAACATCTCAGAGTCATACTGTAAGGCCCTTTATTTCTGGGGCCTTCAATTTGGTGCTTGTTGAACAGCCTTCTAGGATCTGTCTGGACATCTTGGGTGCCAGATTTTGTTCAACAGGTGATTTACTCCACCTGCTCTCCATAAACTATGTTTGCAAATAAATGAATGAATCATGCATACATCATACATGTTTATATGATTAAATTGGCCTTTATATTGACTATAACAGCTGCCGAATGACTGACAGTCACATGGAACAGTTTGTTTCACTAAGCATATGCAAACACCTCAGATCAATGAATTTTGAGGGTAGCAGTAGCAATGGTGATTCTTTCCTGACGGCGGTCCTAGGACTGCTGGCTGTAGACTGCTCTGCACTGATGAGGGTCAAAGAGCTCGAAACCGGTCTGTAGGTGTCTAGCGTGGCCTGGCTAAATCGAAATCAATGAGCATTCAGGAAATAATCACTTGTATCAGTTTTCGTTTATACTAATCGATGCATAGATTTCGGGAGGATGTAATTCAATGTTCTGCGTGGCATTAGCCAGGAAAGTAGTTGTTTTCCTCCCGAAATCTACCATTATTATCCATTTCATGAACATTGTGTGGATATGACTTTGAGCTTTTTGTATTTATTCTCAGACTAGGTGAACTACATATACAATTCTTTGAGAATTGTCTGTAGGTTCATTATTACAGATTTTTTGGTTTTGTTGTGGGAATGTATGGTATTATATTTGGGTATCTTCGCGGATTTTCTCATGAATGGCACTACTCATATCGAATGAAAGAACATTCGTTACAGATCATCATCAACACACCCATTGATTAAATGAATACAATTGGAAATCAGGTATCTTATTCAAGTTATCTAAGCAGATTGATGTCAATTCGGATTTTGTGTTGAGATAATTGTCTGTCGTAATCATTTTTGTTGCTGAAAAATGTCATTGCATCGTGTGCTTTGAAACTACATCTCACAACCTCGGATTTTCAAATGTTCTTCGACAAGGACAGTAGGCATATATTAAATTTTTTTCCCAGTGGATTCACTTTATACAATTTTCAGAAGATGGCGGAACTAACGATAAACAATCTGAAATATCTATGGCAATAATGTCTCCTCGCAATTCTTGTGAACCGTAGTTACGGATGAGTACTTGAGCGATGGAGATACAGTGGAGATTAATACGGTTTAGAGTCCCTGTATATACCTTAGACAAGAGTCCGGACCGTACTGACAGCCGTTGGGGTTCTTAATATTTTGTTCCATTTGGTTTGCCCACCTGACAATGTGACGAAACACCATAGTCGTCCCTCCCGCTTTTTTCGATTATTTCGAATTTCTGTCACTGTCATTTTAAATTAAGCATTTAAAATTATTTCAATGTCATGCTGCGTACATTATTGCGATAATTCCTTAGAGAAGGAATCCAAGTTATTCAACTTTCCGAATGATCCTTAAAACATAATATCATGGAAGAATGCAATGAAACGTCCAGAATGGAAAACTAATTTCAAGGAATCCGCAATATGTGAGGTAAATATTCAACTTGACTTGTGAAAACAGTACAAAAAAAAGCATTTTAGGCCTATTTTGATAGGGATTCTTTTAAGCTGATGGATTTCAAATTGAAAGAGTCTGCTGTGCCGTCAATTTATAAAATAGAGACGTTCAAAAAAAGAGTTCCGTCGTCATCGTATTGGAAATTACTGAATGATACGATCGCAGAGAAAGAAAATGAGATGATGCGGAAATGTATTGAAAGTTTGGAATCAAAACTAGAAGATTCAGAGGAATTGCAATGTTCTATGTCATCAGTCCACGGTGTTTTTAATTCAGATCAAATTCAAAATTCACAGGTGAATGTAGGCTGCAGGAAGAGGTGGGAAACCGACACAATTAAGAAAGCACTCGCTATCAAATTCTCTTGTGGTACCACTGGATATGGTCACCTGTTGAAATTGAAATTTCCATTTCCTACAATCAGAACACTATGGAGTAAAATAGAACACATTGCTTTCAATCCAGGTATATGGTAGAATCTCTCCATTACTTGAAAATGAAAATAGAGAATTACTCGGACATTGAGAGAGACTGCTGCCTTTGCTTTGACGAAATGGCTATTACTCCAGGGCAAGCCTATTGTATATAATAGTTCATCAATTGGACCTTTGACATCTCATTGTCCCTAATGTTAGAAAAATATAAAAATCAATGTTTATAAGGCATATAGGTATATATTTTGTTGTTTTGATTTTGTCACTTTTATTTCTGCTAGTGTTAATAAATTGAGAGAATCGGAGAAAATTATATTGAAACAATTATATGTTTTCTATTTTTTTATATACCAACAGAAAACAACTATATTTTCTTGGCTATATGTAATACCACGTAGAACACTCAAATTATCTTTTTAATATCTAATTAAGTGAAGAAATATCTGATGACG